TCTAACATCAACAACAACAACTTGCATTTACATAGCACCCCCTCAGGCGAGTGTCCCAGAACCTCTATGAGCAGAATGCCTGGTCCCAGCGACGTTACCCTTGAGAACTGGGACAGTTAGTCCAACATACACACAGGTGACCACCCTGTAAAACTGGCACTCTCGCCCGCACAGTTACTTACGCCTGGACTTCCTGTTCAGTAAGTTAAATAAGTCTCATTTAGTGAATTTACCAAAAGCTAGAATTTGAACTCTCCCCCCCCCACCCCACCCCACCGCCCAGCATTATCCTCAGCTGAACCCAGAACGGACCGCAAGTCAAAGAGAGACGTTGCCTTTTTAATAACTGGCTCATTATGTCGACGTGCCTTACAGGATTGGGTTAAGAAGCAACAGAGCCAAGGGAGAGTTTTAGTGAAGGGCCTGTCTCCTCTCCCCCTGAAGCAGCTCGACTCTACAGTGAATTGTACGGGGGAGTGGGAGCGGGGAAAGAGGACTGCAATCAGTGTTGATGTGCAAGCAGCATCTTTAGATCGTCCCATTTGCACCAATAGTGCTGCGCTGGAGCTCACTTTCAGGACTAGATATCTACTAATGTAGACTGCTTATGTGATACCTGGCACGTCGTACAGCTATTTGCCTGTAGCTTCAGGCACAGTTGACTGCTACCCCCCTCCCCACCTCAGTCCTTTGGGAGTTAACTACAAGTCAGAACCCAGATAGAGAAAATGGTAACGACTCCACACTTACTACTGTGAAGCTGAATGCATTATCTCATCCAGACAACTTTCGGGGGGGGGGGGGGGGGAATATAAGATTGAGTATTAAATTAGACAGAGTTTATTAGAGCAGAAAAGGCAAGCCACCAATCATGCAGTTGGGTAGAATCGGACTGGAATGCCAGTTCTAATGACTGAACGAGGGGACGTGCCCTTCGAAGAGCGGGTATAACACATCGAAACGAGCTGCAAAGACAATTCGATTCGGAGACGGCTTTACAATCAACACAAAATACAAATCTTCCACCCACCAGGAAGCTTCCCTCTCACATTCAGTTCTTTTTAAACAGATTCGCTGCTCACTGATGCGCTGTTAAAAGTTGTCAGTGATGGTTCTGCCTCCAGCTCCTTCACCCTGGAACAAATTAATGTGACACAAAGACTGGAAACTTAGCCACCCACTGAATGCTTTGGATTTCCAATTAAACCACTGGCCTTGAAGCTTCATTCATTCAGGAAATGACCAGGCTCGTATTTTCAATGCTGCAACACCATTCTAGTCACAGAGCAGGTTAAATATTCTCAGTACGGCTCTACACAGTCGAGATTAAACGGGAGAATGATTCATTTCGTCTCAATTCAACAGAGAACGTGTGCCATATACTGCCATGATTCCTCATTCAGGGACTCACAGTTTACTCATTCAAGATTTTTTTTTATTAATGTGACTTTTCAACACAACTGAACTAATGAATAAGGAAGACATCTCCAGTGGATTCTTATAACATCTTTCACATAGAGGAAACGTCTCGAAGAGCTTCATAAAGACTGAGCAAGATCTGGCGGGGGTGGGGGGTGGGGGAGAGGAGGGTGAAGAGAAAACAAAAGTAAAGTCAGAGATGGGTTTTAAGACAGGATTTGGATGGAGTTTAAAGTGGACCGCATTTCACCCCAGTTTACTGGCAGAGGATAGACAGACTGGATAGACAGAGGTGCAGGAATCCTGGCTGAACACTTGTTCTCCTTCCTACTATGGAAGGATGAAAGCTGGTGGTGATGCTCCCACATCCGCTTTGGTACAGACGATACAAGGAAGGGATTGGAGCTTGCTCTCAATGACAAAGGAATTAGTGTTACTGAGGAACACGGATCTTGAGGTGTGGGTGTGTTCTATATGTAAGGGCATGTTATTTTTATACAAGATGTTAATTAGCAGTAATGTATGAAACTGTAAGAGCCTCGTTGTCATCAAGGTTGATTGTTATTGGGATTGAATATTATTGTGCTATGGTCACCAATGTCTAGCAGTTAACCAACCCTTTTGCTCCTGAATAACATCTACCGATTTCATAAATTTCCCCCATGTGTCAGTGTGGATGTACGATTTACTTACTTACCTTCTGATCAAACACCATCAATAATACCAACATCCCTCAACTTGTTCTCAACTCCCAATATGTTCACCCCCATCCGTTCTGAATCTAGTTTACAATAAAAAGCCGATTACTATGTTTAATGCTTTGGGTCCACGGCTTAGTTCCCCATTGAATAAAGTGCACAGAATGCTTCCTGTAAACAATCCTTCTCCTTGAAGGTTCCCCAGTGATCTAAACAATCAATTTCAGCCCTCATACTCACACCATTTATCTGATCAGCCACTGAAATTAATTAACCTGCTGGATCTTTTCCTGCCTCGTAGATAATACACGGAGCAACCACATTCCCTCAGCTTTGCATCACTTTCCTTACAGCAGTTTATCAACCCTATATATTCTTTAGCTCCTCAGAGAATAGTCCATCCCCACATCAATACAACTGGAGTGATTCCATCTCTCATCATCCTTTCAGACTTTAAAGCTTCCAAGTGACAAAGGATAAATACTTCTACAAAACACAAGATCCATTAACCTCACTCCCTTGTTATAAGAGTTTGCCTATCCATCTAGTCCACCATTTTATCTTCACACACTATCATTTTGTTACACCTTGTACACTTTATTTATCAAATGGAAAAAAAAATCTAGTGAGGTAATTGCCATTTCAAGCAGAGAGCTGCAATGGCTGATAACAAACAAAGAAGTCCTGTACTAAAAAAATGCCTTTACCTCGAACATTAACCACAGGTAGTTAAACTCAGAGTCCAACAAATTCGAGAAAGGTTCCAGCAGGTTATTTCCAAGACATGCAAATTCACCCACACACGGTTCTGCTTGTGGAATAAATAAAACAGTTGCAAATCTTGCAGTGATGAATGTTTGACTTGTGCAGAATATTACCGCAGTGAACTGAACATACAAAGATGCAGGACCAGAGAGGAAATTGAACCCATCCATGTCGCAGATAATTTTTAACATTTTTTTTAAAAAACTGTTCTCACTCAGATTGAATTATTTTGCCAAAATTCCCATCCGATTCTCTCTTCGATGTGTTGACAGAATCTGCCTTCCCGGACAGTCGATTTGATCTAGAACCTGAATGCTGGGCATGGATGCTCTCTAGTCCTTGCCACATTAGAGAAGCTACCAGTAAATGCAGAGTTCCCGGGATCTTGCCTTTATCAGTCACACAGCCCAGCATTGCCCAGGAGGGTTGCCTTGTTCTTTGTACCCACAACACGACTCGAAATGAGAGTCATTTGAAACCGTGAAGTATCAAGTTCAGCAATCTGTCCCAGAATTTACTGAAGCAATTTACTGCTGAAACTACCCCAACATGTTAAATCAACCAGAGACATCCCAACCTTGGCTGTAATTCACCTCTGCGTTATTTTGTTCTTTAGAATCAATTCCATCCAGAGATGGGCTTACTGTGTTTGGATACCGCCTGCATAAATTTAACCATTTGCCAGCAAAGCATCTGAAAGATGTTAGCCAATTAATGTAACATAATAAATAGCACACACCAAACTATCATAATAAACAGCACATACCAAACACCTCATTAGATTTACTGTAAAGTCAATTTGCGCACAGCAATGTCGCACAAACAGCCAAGAAGCCCTTCTTTTAATGGACGGTGATGCTTCATAATGTACTACATCAATGCGAATATTATATAATAATCAATATTGTATCACTGATCTTTTTTTTTTAATTGGTGGAAGGAAGGGAATGGTTACAAATCTACATCTCAATCCAATTCACTTTCTGAACCCAAATAAAGGTCTCTCAATTATTAAATGCAAGAAATATTTTTTAAGAATAAAAATCCAAATAATTTTTGAATTGGTGCCTAGAACCATGAAACATCTCAGAGTGCATCACAGGTCATTACTGTAATTGAGTAGTGACTGTGGTTAAACACGGAATGACCAATTTATCTGGATGATTGCTGGCCATGATAATGGGAAAAACTCCCATCTCTCTATCAATAGAGTATTGGATCATTCAACATCCAACTGGACCTCAGTTTTTAACATTTAATCCGATTGATGGAACCTCCTACAGCTATACACTTGAGTGTAAGCCTTGACTGAGCTCAACGTGGAATTTGAACAAATCTGACTTGTCTAAAACAGATGTACCCAAAAATACAGCCAGCATTACCTGCCATGAATCAAAATAGGATTCAGGGCAAGGAAACCAGAGCTGCATCTCAAGTTATCAGTTTGACAAGAATATAGATAGTTTGATGTTCATTAGCAGACTGGGCTGCGGAGAAACAAACGAGACTGCCTGAAGGAACAGTCATTAAACATGAGGATCCGAGATGGAGCCAAATTGTCACAGGACAGAATTTAAATCATAATCTCATCTGCATAACTAGCCTGTATACAGCACACACTGGAGTAATATGAGACTGTAAAAAGAGATTAAAACCCCCTAGTCAATTCTGTGAGAGAATCCAATCTATTGGAATATATTAAAATGCATCGCTACAAATTTAGGCAGGAACACGCTCAGCACACTCACCATGCAGAATCTGGATTAAAAACCCACATTCCAAATTGTACCGTGAATGGAACGCGCACAAAAAAAAAAAATGTTTTAAAACGTCTCAGACAAATGCAGGTCACCTGAAACAAAACCGCTCAGTCTCAAATCACACACACGCTTATATGTACAATCCAACTGAAGGGAGACCTTCAGTTCACTGAGCCAATCTTCTGCTGCAAATCTTGGATCAGAAATCAGCAATGATGTACTGTGAAGCTCTTAGAACTTAAAGCACCACCTTCCGCGGCGAGTGGGATTATGATATATACAATACTACTACGGGACTTGCCTGTAGTCACACGGCTATTGAGTTGAGCTGTTCGGCTTCAGCCCGGCAAGACCTCACCTGTATGAAGCTGAATCTTTCCAATGACTCCCTCCACCAGACCTAAGCAAATCGGGTTCCATGCCAGAAGCAGATCAGTAGCTGTGGAAGCGAGAAGAACTCATTACTCCATTGCAAGGCAAAGAGAAAACAGCAAGTCATTTTCACTGTAGATCACAAGATCCGTTCAGATCACGAAGGCCCTTCGTCCCATTTGATCTCATGCCTCCAAAATGCCCAACGCACTGTCGTCCCATCACAGCATCAAGCTTTTTCTTTACATAAAGAAAAATTTCTCCACCATTCCATTCTGGCCTCAACCACCCTTCCTCGTAACCTGCTCCAGTTACTCATCACGGGGATGCTTCTATGCATAAGCAGCGTACAAATGTGGAACTCTTCATCTGGTTTAGATACTCTTAAGCACAGTGATGGCTTTCCGTACATAGAATATACAGCACGGAAACAAGCCATTCAACTGGTCTATGCCGGTGTTTATGCTCCACGTGAGCCTCCTCCTGCTCTTCCTCAACTAACCCTATCAGCATAACCTTCTATTCCTTTCCCCCTCATGTACGTACCTGGCTTCCCCTTAAAAGTTCCACATTCCCACCACTCACTGGGTAAAGAAGTTTCTTCTGACTTCCCTATTTGATTTATTGCTGACTGTTTTATATTGATGGCCCCTGGTTCTGGTCTCCCCCACAAGTGGACACATCTTCCCCATGTCGACCCTATCAAAACCTTTCATAATTTTACAGACCTCTATCAGGTCACCCCTCACCCTTCTCATTTCAAAAGAAAAGATTCCGAGCTTGTTCAGCCTTTCCGGATAGGTATAACCTCGCAGTTCTGGGACCATCCTTTTAAATCTCCTTCTCCAGTGCCTCTATATCCTTTCTATAATATGGGGACCAGAACTGTACATGTCAGATATGTGGGGGAAACCAAAAACAAGGTTAATTACCCCAGATTGATGTAAACCTTCTAACCGCACAAGTTAAATCTATTTTGTTGATGTACGGAGATGTTGATAAGGCATGTAGGCAAAAGGTGCATTTGGTTCAAGTTATACACTCTGTAAGCCCAAAACTCAGCCATGGTTCTCTACCACACCAAGACCTTTGCCCTGTGCACCAAATGGTACCAGTGAACTGGGGCTCCATTCTGAAACCACCTTCAAAGAACACTTTGAGCAAACATAAAAAAAGACATTTTAAAATGGTGCATCCACAACCAGACAAGCACTACAGAGGCTCTCAATACCCCAGGTGATGCTGTCTCAGTTTGGGAGAAATATTGGCCCTCCAGCTTCTCTACTTTGGCAGCAAATCCTTGTTTTTTTGTGGTCCATGTTGGTAGCACTGGCCTGGCTCCAGAGGTAGTACAAAACTCAGCTGTGAGGCTTCTTCCACCCTGCAAGGGCAGGCAATAACATTACAACAGAAGTCGCTGGGAACACTCAGGAAGGTCAGGCAGCATCTGTGGAGAGAAACAAGTGAGGCAATGTTTCAGGTCAATGACCTTTCATGAAAACCTCATCGACCTGAAACATTAACGCACTCTGGTCTCTCCACAGATGCTGCCTGAGCTGCTGAGCGAGCGTTCCCAGCGACTTCTGTTTTTAGCTCAGATTTTCAGCATCTGCAGTGTTTTGCCTTTTGGCAATAAGATTGCCCCATCTTAACAAGCTTTGTAGAAAAACATCTTAAATTCCGCAAATGTTACAGAAGGATCATTTTGTTTAGTTCTACATATTGGATCATAAGCCAGTATGAACTGGCAGCAAAGTCCAGCCGGCGATAAAAGAGGATCAGAAATAATTACCAAAGTCTATTCAACCGCAGAACCCCTAATAGCAACGGGATTGGACATACGCTGTGGTATTTCACTCACAACAGAAATGTATACCGTTAAAAGCTCGGAGTTTAAAGCTTCGCGCTGCAAGTTTGCAGCTCACCATCATATTACAAACTATCAAGCAGGCCTTCAGCTTACGAAGGAACCTTACAGGCCAGGGTTTTATAACTGGGGTATGAACCCTCACCTATGAAGCTTTAAATGGAAGAAAGGAAGCCGGAATCATCTGACAAGCTACGCCACTGTCAAGCACTCTGAGACACTACCCTACGTGAGGGGCGCTATGTAAATGCAAGTTGTTGTTGTTGTGGTTGAATCAGGGTGCAGCACATGATGATAATCAAGTCAAAATTCATCTGATTTCAGTGGGTGCCTGCAAACGGAAATTGCGAAGACACTCACACATACACCACACACACACACACGCAAAAGAGAACTGGGTCATTCACAGCCAAACTTCCACTGGAGCAGATCAACACTGAAGGAAACCAAAAGTAACAGCCCGAAGCCACAGTTTGCCTTTCAAGACCGTTTTATTTTGCACCTGTTACATCCCTTTCTATTGAGGGGGCAGCGTGAGTCAAGAGCACTCTCTATCACCACTCTCACATTAGTCATTTGTCGATTCAACGACAAATCCATAGAGCAGCACCCGAAGGCCACTGTTCCACTGACAGACTGGCTAAGGAGGCCCTTACTCCTTGTCCAGACCCCATTTCCCCATCAACAGGTCATGTCTGAAGACCTTCCTCTTTGACCGTGACTGTGGTCATCTCCTGCTCCTTGTCCCACCGGCTCAGTGTCATGCTCCACCACTGTCGAGCGCTCTGGGACACTACCCTGTGTGAGGGGCGCTGCGTAAATGCAAGTTGTTGTCGTTGTCCACAGGGCAACAGGGTGGAATTCCTCTGGTTGAAACCTATTGCATCAGTGTCCTTTTGACAACTATTCCACTTGACAGCAAAATAAATGTATATAAAACATTATGAAAGAAGCGGGGAAACAAGTTTCCATCCCTCCTCCACTCAGAAAAGGGACACATAGGTACTGTACAGGGACAATGTTATATAAGCAAGTAAGTAAATTGAACAGAATGTATTATTTTTCCTGACATTGACCCAAGGTTGAACGCAGCGCAATTTATTATTCCTGCAGTGAGACGGGGACATGGCTGGTGAGGGAATTGACTAACTGTTCTTCCAATTGCTCCAAGGACATCTCCACATCAGAGGAAGATGAATCTCAGATAATAAGCGCAATCTCTCTCCTGATGTCCTTCAGGCAATTTAACATGAGCCCCATCTGCTACCGCAATAGGAGGGATTGCTGGAAAGAGACGCCACAACACAGTCAATCGGTCATGTATCGTGACTCATGTGTGTCATATGAAGAGGAATAGATACCACGGCTGATCTAGGGGCTAATAGATCGATTTGATTAACAGAACAACTTCATTTGAGAACTGTTCTATGTGAAGGGCACGGTATAACATTTAAGTCGTATCTTACTGCTGGGAGAAAGCATTTATACAGCGTTTCAGAAACAGGGTAGATGTTCTAAGTGTTGTGCTCTAGCTACACATTGATAAAAGCTTGTGGTACGGAGAGAGATTTCAGTACGAGGCTGGCCTGGGTCTTGAGAGAAATACTGCTTCAGGCATCAAATCATTTGACATTCTCACCATCCTCTCACATTCAAAGCCATCCCCTACGCAACACAGTAAACCTCACACACGTTGCATGAGTTGGGACCATACGTTTAATACGACTTGTACCAAATATGAGTTATGTCAAACTCGCATAAACTCTCGAACGGGACTTGGGTAGATGTACGACTTAGGTGATGATATGATTTATACAGATCAGACTTATGCGAGTTTTACTGTAATACCATCATCGCCAAAGCCACACTGAGGCCAGGCTTCTCAGACTTCCCAAATGGTTCTGCTGAGTAAATACACTGCCCATACAGGCCAGGCCAGAAAACTCCTCAGTTCCATGTCTAGTCTTTGCCAATTTCAGTAAGCTCAGGACAATTGGTCTTCAAGTGGCCATGTGTTAAACAGAAGCAGAAAGAATTCTAGAGATCCCGATCGCTACCCAGTGGGTCCTGGTTACCTGTATGAATGTCACAAAACCTGTTAACAAATGCTAAGAATGATCCGGGTACCTTCTGGCTTCCAGTCAGAACAAGGATCATTTACAGACCAGAGTACAGAATTAAAAATAGAAGTTTTGAATAAGCAGCAGCCACGTCTAAACCAAGACTAACCCATTGAATGTCACCAAGCCCCGGCAAACCACAGAGTGATTGAGAAAAGGAGCCTGGCATTACACTCCTGACCATGCGATGTCAAGTTGCAAGGTCAACCCGCTCATCTAAGTTGCTTAGAATTAAATACCACTGTTCAAACCACTGGCAGCTAGAATGATTAAAGCATCAAACGCTACAATTAGCCAGACAGACAGAAACAGACAGACAGACAGACAGACAGATGGAAGGAAATGCGGAGTGCAGAGTAGACAATCACACCTTCAAAGAAAACAAGGCATCAACTCTGGAAGAACGCAGCGTTTGCAGGTTTACAACATTGATTGATGTTGTCACTAGATTCATCGGCCCCTGAATGGAGTAAATCCTTGGTATCTTAGATCAGTCGTGCTGCAGAGTGAGTTTACATTCTAGAACACACAGGACAGCTGACAATTTACACAAGTTAAACGTTTTGGAGTTAAATGTGTGTTTTCGTAAGGTGCTCGTGCTGTGTTGAGAAGCTTCGAAGCAGCACCAACCACAGGGTTTGCCTGGGTAACGGCTTAAGAGACTGCTGCCAGTTCCCTTAACGGAACCCATCTCTCGGGCCTTTGTTTTTAAACTAGTTATCTGGTTACAAGCCATTTTGCTATCAGTCAATGCCCCTTTTCTTGTTATCTTATTTCCCCCCTTTCTGAACAGAACAGAACACAAAGCCACTGAATATTTAGAACAGTATCGGCATTCACGGCTGCATTTCAAGCTGTGCTACATCAATCACTCGTTTGATTCCAACTCTTAAGCGCCGGGCAACTCAGAAAATTCAGGTCGAAGGTTAGAATCAAGTTACTCCATGTTCTAATTTGTATTGTATTAAGCCGTGGAGGGGGGGGGGGGATAAAGAAGAGAAGCTAAAATAGAGTATTTTAAGATTTACAGAATGTAAGATACTTTAGCAGAAGTGGTCAGTGGGTTTTGCTCACG